ATTTGCCTTTGTGGACCGCATGCTTGTCAAATGATAGCTGCTAAGTTATCAAGGTGTATTAAGGTGAGTGAAACAAATATCATTCAATCCAATTTTGAAGATCACTAGCTGAGCCATCTCAACTAAATGTAGGAATTGGACTTCACATCCAAGGTATCATGAAAATACAGGTATTCAAAAAAGAATTATTGGAATCATCAATCGATTCATGCATCACTCGCTCGGACAGTCCTTGTTTTTCTAGGCAGAGGCAATGGGGCACGAGTCGGATTGCGCATAAGATATTGGCCACACCCGGACGGCAATGCCACTCATGGTGATGGACACAACTTGGAGCATGCCCGATCCTCCCCCAGGAAAGCAGCTCCGAGCACCGACTCAGGCCCCAAGAAAGCCATCTAAAGAAGGGAACGACGAGGGCATGGAGCAGTGCTTCACTCCCTTTCTGATCAGGGCTTCGCATTCACCCCGGCTGGGGTCATCAGAAGGATTTGAATGGCTAGGTACACGTCCAAACCAAGGGCGGCATCTCGAGCGATCCTCGATTTCAAGTGTAGCACTGACTATGGCAGATCCACAAGCGGTCGAAGATTTGCAGCTTATGAGGGCCTTGGGCAGCCTCATTGTCTAGGTACAGCAGGGTATACGACTCGCGGACGGTGCACTCCCAGAGGGACATGGCAACCCACACGGCCAGTAACTCTACCTCGTAGATAGGGTGGCTGGAGTGATCCTTCAAGGCGGAAAGGTAACTGCTCGGTACCTCCCCTGAGAAGTAGGCTATTGCTTCTCCGTCTGAATCGAAGAGGATTCCCCCCAATCCCGCGAAGTCACCCTCGAGGCTCCCATCAGTGAAGATGTAGAAGGTTTATCTGATCGATCGTGTGATCCTCAGAGGAGGAGCGGTCAGGGCCTTGTCCAAGAGGAAGGTGAGGGACTCACGCAGCTCGGGACTCAGATGGGTTGTCCCACGGGGTCCTTTGGCTCTTTTCCCGAGAACACTCACAGCTTGGCAGGGTCTCCGTCCAAAGAGGAAAGTGCAATACCAATGAAGTCTACCTCTCAGGGCCTCAGCCTCGGCTGGTTCCAATTTATCCTCGCACAAGATTTTTGTCAGGGTTTCTTGAAGCTCCTGAACCCTTTCTTTTGTATGGGTCAACGTGACTTCCCCTTGACCGAACTTGGAAAGGTCGAAGAGTAGGCCCAAGGCACGGAAGACGGTGCTGAATTCCGTAGCCTTTTTGTCTGAGGTGGCATAGGCTAATTCGAGGAGGTCAAGTAATCTTTTTGCACACTGGTCTGATTGGCAGGCATGAGAACGGAGGCTAAGCATGGGATAGTCATCGAAATAATTACACCAAGCAAGGCCTACCTTAACTACACCCAAGTGCCAGGTCGCTGCGGCTGTCCTCAAAAATCCGGACACACTGCCCGTGGTGCCAAAAGGCAAGGAACAAGCTCCGAATACTTTAACCTCTTTGGTGGAAGGATTGAATGCAGCCAGGCGGAACACTTCCCTATCTTCAGGGGCCACCGCATACTGCTTGTATGCAGATGTCAAGTCAAGGGTCTTCCCTTCGACAATTGCATCGGCCGACCTGGGGTCATCAAGGGCTTTGGAAAGCAAGGCGGATATGAACTCCACTCCATGAAGGTCGTCTATTACACGGACTTTGGCTCCTTGACGGACTCCGAAGCGCCTTGAGATCAGACACGAGTCGAGGTTGGGCTGCTTGTCTTCGAAAATCCACCCCTTTTCAAGCTCCTGGGTCGTCTCCTCCCAGGCGGCCAAGGCAATGTCATCACACACATGGGAAGCCACTTTTGCTAGAGTGGCTTTGTTGCGGGCTTCTGCGGTGCTCATCTGCGTGGGCAAGGTTGTCTTTGGAGGTCTAGGGTCTGGGACAAAAAGGTTGGCGTTCTTCATCCAGCCCGACAACCTGAAACCATTCCTCATCGCAACGAGTTCTCGATCGGGGTACCCTATGGAGGCAAGGAGTTTTTCCAGAAGCACGGTGCTCTTGCCTTTAAGAACCCTAGAAACTATGGGGTCTAAACCTGAGGAGGTGACTACTTCCTGGGGTTCAAGGATATGCTTCTCGGACTCCAACTCGCTTAAGAGCGCCATGCCTGAGCTGGGATCATCCAATTTGGGTTGCAGGAGGTTTTCAACAAGGGTGTCCAACACGGGGTCTTCTACTGAGGACCAGCATCCTAGGATGGCCCGCTTTAACGGCAAGAGCTAAGAAGGCTTCAGGCTCGTGGGGAATGCCTATCCATACTACTTCGCAGGTCTCGCCAAAGTTGGATGGAGTGCACATGCCACAGACTCTGACTGACGTCTCGCTATCAAAGGCTGGCAAGAGTTCCTGCGGATCAGGGTCCACACACCCATGTCCAAGCGCTGGTGAGAGCTGGAGTCAATTTTGAAGCGTCAATCTTTGGGCAGACGGAAGCCCGGACCTGACCCCAATTGCAAAGCTTCCGGCTGGCCGCTTTTGCACCTTTAGGGTAACATTTGAGCAATCTCTGCAAGGGCTCATGCTGTTCAATGGGCAAGGCCCAGGCATCATATTCGGCGTAAAGACTGACCAGGGGCCGGCGCTTTCTCGGTTGCTTTTCGAGGGCTAAACGCAAGTGACTGGGAGCAGGCCCAAATAAGGAGATTTGGGGCGGGAGAGCCGTGACGGCACATCGGATCAACTCAGTCATGCGATGACACAAGAGCACGGGGTACGCTGCCTCGGATGCAGTTGGGAATACAGGTTTGCCTCGGACAACGCGGGGCTTCCAAGATTCGTGCCTATGATCCTTGCTGCAGGCTGCTGCAAGCTTGTTAAACCTGTTGTCGGTGCACCAAAAACAAGTGAGTTTGTCACGAGTACCTCCGTGCATGCAGGCATGGAAATACACTGTCTCCCCTGCAACCTCAGTGAAGAGATCAAGGAAAGGAGGCAGATACCACATCCAACTATTGCCAGGATTCTCTATTGACACGGCGACTCCAAGTGATTTTGCCAACTGCACTAGGTGACAAACAAAGGTGTAAAGGCAGTTCGCCTGCGTGACCCTTATCAAGTCTGTGCCCTGAAGATCAGGTAATCCCATGGGGTTCTCAGCGTCCCGAAGTGGGGCAGGAGATGCCAGTCCAGCTTCTGCAAAACCTGGGATTGGCCGTTCTCTGGCGGCGGAGCACGTACCACATGGAGGTGCTATGTGAATATGCTGTAGGCGCGAGGCATTGTCCACAATGATCTCACACAAGGCGTCCTGATGCTCTGGACTCGTGAGATCCAACAATTGAGTTGGAAAAGCGGAACTAGCTTTGTGATCGAAGGCCAGAACTTGAAAGCCTGCTGCTTGCATGGCCATGCTCAGCCGTGCTGATCCTGAGAAAATCTCCAGACACATGCCCAAGTCTGGCTCACCAGTGGTCGCGAGCTCAGAGGGCTTTGCGTGGCGTATGTCACATGGTAGCGGGATCCCAAAGGAATGCAAAAGGTTGAAGGACTCTGGCTCAAGGTTTTCAATGCAACCTACGGAAAAGGCAACTAGGACAAGTCTGTCTCCCAACGACCATGGCAACGTCTCATGATCGAAATGAGCGTCAAACTGCAATGTACCTGAGGCCCCGAAGCTCAGATCTTCTGTTGAGTCGGCTCTGTACACTCTGATTCCTCCTCCAGCAAAGGAGGTCAGCGCCGCAATGTGATTGTGAGAACCTGACAGGTTGTTCTTGTCACAGTGACGGGGAGTCTGTACATTCCTAAACAGCCCCAGCGAAGTGAACCTAACGTTAGGGAAAATTGACTTGGCAACTGAAATCAGCAAACGACTGCAAGCTGGGTATTCTTGCAAGGATTTCCTCGGGCCAGTGACCCCACCATGTCGGAAGGCTCCCGTGATAAAGCTGCTGCCGTCTAGTGCTCCTGCAGACTGGCGGGCTGTGCTTTCATTGGGCAACAGCAAAGATAAATTCAAAAGGTCACTCGAAGTGCAACGACCCTGCCGCAAAAGCTTGACTGCAAGGGATTCGGCTTCTGAGAGCTCGGAGGCAAAATTGCTCTCAACGAATGGCTCGAAAACGTAAGATGGGCCATCATGCCTTGAGGAGGCAGAGGCTCTTGCTTTGGAATTAACAGAAAAAGAACTCCGCTCGGAAGGATCCGGGAGTATCTCTCCTGTAGGAGGATTGGGTCTTGGCGACCTGCTTCGCTGGCTGGGATATTCCAGAGGAATCACACTGCCAGCATCCTTTGATTGTCACTCTTTGGCTTCGCCCTGTCCTTTTCCAGGTCGAGCTCCTTTGCCTCCTTTTCCTTTTCCCTTGTTGGCTGGTTTAAACCAGCACTTCCTGGCTCCATGCCCTGGTTTCCTGCACCAAGCGCACGCATGCACTCCACGATTGCAAGCCGGAGGTTGCTTGGAGTCTACTTTGGCCTGACATCCATTGCAGTTAAAACCCCAGCAGAGCCTGCGACCATCCGAGTGGGTCAGATGAGGGCAATCCTGCAGCTCTTTCGGAAGATTAGCTGTCTTCACAGGAGCTAGAAGACCCCCAGTACGTTCTCTCTGGCGCTTTCTCCCACGGGAAGGCTCTGTCTCGTCAACAGGAGCCGCACTGCTGGACTGACCCTTGGGGAGAGGAAGCAGGTGCATCACTACACGCGGATCGTGACGAAGCTTCTGCATGGCTTCATCTACGGGCATCTTCCCAGTGGAGTCAGCTCGTACTTGAGTAATTTCTTTAGCGATCAAGAGAAAAAGCTCGGAATCAGCTTTCAGGATCTGATTGATCCCTACGCTTGCATAATTGGGCGGAGCCTCTCGCGTGAGGCGCTGCATCAAGTAGGAAACCCAGGATTCGTGAGTCTCCCAGGAGATGACCTGATTCATGTCATACGCTAGTCCTCTGCGCTGCAAACACCACTGGATCTCAAGAGAAGTAGCACGGCTTGCCGTTAACTGATCTGCAACGGGAGCAAGAGTAACGGTGTTCTCGTGCAAGGTGAGGACCTTGCTCTTCTCTTTTCCTCCTAACCTTAACTCTTGGTCCCGTTTGGGACACTTACTTGGAGGAATCCAAGCTACATGGTTAACTTCCACTTGATGCGCCACAGCGTCAATGAGACAGTACGCCGGCTCCAGCTCCTCTTGGAACACGAGGCCTTTGAGGCGTTGACGTTGGTTGGCAATGCGAGCCGTCTTCTCGGCTACTGGCAGCTTCTTTGGCGCTTCTGACGTCTCGCCCATCACCTGGGCCTTCAAGCTAGCTGTAACATATGCGGATGATTCAAAGTGGAGACGGCGCAGCTTCGCCGCGTCCCCAACTGACGCTCCTGACCCAAGGATCTTATCACAGAATTGGTTGAAGTCTTCTTCGGACGGAGGTGCTTGCGGGGTCCCATAAGCGAACGCAAGGTCACTGAAGGTCTTGACTTGCTGGGCCAAGAGTTTGCCATGGATCGCTAAGTCTCCGCAAACCAGGCTACATCTTGCTTTGAAGGAGGCTTCGGAATCGACTAGGGCCATTTTGGCCTTCAGTCCTATCAAAATCTTCTTTTCTAGAAATCTGCTTGAGCAGGGCGGTCAATGGCATGCCACTTCTGGTTGCGCGACAGCAGGTCACTACTTCACTAGACCAAAGCACCACAGCACTCTTCGCTTTTGCTCCAGGTCAAAATTTCAGGCCAAAGCTTGCGCTTTCCTACAGTTTCTACAGACAGGAGAGCTGGCTTTGATGGCCCTTGGCTCTTCCAAGGGAGGTTTCACTGGCCTTCCGCAGATCGTAAAGCGGTAGTGATGGGCCTTCAGCAAGTGCAAGGCGCCAACCTTCTTATGTTGCACGAACTTGAAACCTGACCCTGGCTCTGGCAAGTC